AAAGGGTGATGAGAAAGCAGTTCCAGGGCTGGAGCCTGACTGCAATTTGTTTCATTTTGGCTTCATTCTCTGGCATTTCTCCAGCATGGTAAAGCACAAAATGGTGTGACGCAGTCCCTCAAATAATAGGTTTCAACTAGATCAGCATTTAGCAATGTTTGTTAGAATTCCTCTTCCTAAATGTTAAATAGATTCTCTCACCATGAGCAGTAGATGTGGAATCAGATACTGGAATCCATGGACAGCCACCTCCTGTCTCCCTGCAAAATCTGATAAAAGTTTTGCTGAATAAGGACTTGAGGATTTAAATACTAGATTGTGTTTAGAAGTGCAGAGCCAGCAAATGATTAAACCAAAAAACTGACCCTGCAGGCCCTAACTATGGAAACAATCCCTCCCTTACACAATAAGAGTAAAAACTAGAGAGCCAGGCTTAACTTTACAGAACACCTGCCCAAAACACCTGCTGGTTTGGTGTGAATCTTTGTGCTTGGTTCTGGGACTGTAGGTTTGAGCTTTCTATGTTGATGTGATGTCAATATTGAATGTGTTTTCCTCTCGGTGTATGATTTTCCTTCATTAATTTTTTTGGTATCAGTTCACTTGTTACCATGTAGGTACAGTTCAAGAAGTTCAATGCACATTGAACTGCAACTATGGTTGCATCCAATTTGTAGCAATCGTTACAAAAAAAGATGTTGGCACTATAAATCACAGAACTAAGGGCTAAATATGATTGAAAGACAGAATCTTTTTGATTCTGGTCCTAGTGGCTGCTCCCTTCTCTGATCCCCAGGATCCCATCAGTCAACATACAATATACAGACATTTTCATAACTCCGCATAAACAGGAATTGCTGGATGCTCCAGGGAAATGCAGGATGCCAACATAACTGCTGGCATCCTGGCCACAAGTGTAAGGCCCACTTTAGAATTAAGTGTTCTCTTCAGTAATGTGGGAACACCAGTTGAAATTGTTTCTGCCCTTTCAGATTTGTGAAGGGTCCAAAAGTATCGAAGCTTCTCTTTAAGAACAGCATCTAAAGATACCCTCACTTGAGATTCATTTTTATATTCAATGGGACATATCCACATAAATAGGAAGATTTTGAGTATAGGATTTTTTCTTCATCTAAATGAGCTCTTCAATATGAACATCTGCTTCAAAACAAAGCATCTAAATGCGTTGGGAGTTTTTTATAATCACAGAAGTGCTGCTTCAAAAATCCCAGCACAGAAACATGCACTATTACTTTCTGTAGTTGTTTCTGGTAGTTACTTTCACAGCTTAGTGGATTGAAAGGCTGCAAGAAGTCTTCCCATTCTTAACTACTTACTGTTTTCACTCCCTAGGTTGGCCATGCTACCCAGCAGCTGCACAAAAAAAAAGCTGGTTTTTCTCCATGTTCTTTGGAGACTTTCAACCAATTTTCGTTATTTGTTCTACCCAACACAGGTAAACCAAGAGAGAACAGTACTTAAACTGACAGTATTTAAAGAATCCTTTCTGCATGCTTGTTTAAACAAGGTACTTAATTTAACAATAGTGTTCATCTTGATTGTCTCATTTCAAAGATAACTGAGAAACTATGCAAACCATTCTATCACTGATGCAAATACCAACAAAAGCTGAGTTCTCACTTACAGAGAAGCAAAGCAGCAGGTTTTTTGTTTCTATTGAGGTTCTAAAGAAACGGTAAATACATTTTTATTCAGTCTCTGGGTGACAGCTAAACATAGGCTGTAAAACTTCTGTCAAATCTTTGTTGCCTGTAGTTAAGTAAAGTTTAGGAAGCATCCAACTGCCACACATTATTTACCATGTTATTAAATCCATCCTGTTTGTAAGCTTCTCTGAGGATTGAGACCAAGTCCTACCTCTGACTCATCCCCTCCTACCCCCTAAAATCCAAGTATGACTCTACGACATATTCTTAGGAACAGCATCAATCTTCAATGGCATCTACTTACCAGAGGCATTACGCCGTGCTACAAAGCGAAGGTACTACGGAGTTCCATGGCAACTACCGTTTGAAACACTTCAATTACATTTGAGCTTTTCCCTCCTCTTCATTTTCCTTTCTTTTTTTCCCCCAGCTATCCTGCCTTACTTTGAACAGTAAAAATAATTCTTCTCAGCAGCTAACGTGTCTTTCAGGTATCTTCTAGAATCTGGGCTATTTCTCCTTCCATGGCATTTTAAGCACTGTGAGTTAGGTTATAAAAAAGGTAAGTTAGAAGTTAAAATCTTTTAAAGAGACAACAGCTACCTGAGTGACACTGAGTATTCTACAGTTGAGGTGGTTTAGATGTGCGCAAGCATTTTAAACTACTTCTTCTGTTCCAAATGCTAGAAACAAACAGAAGTACCATGCCAACAGGAATCTGTGGGAAAATGTGAGTGATGCCTGTTCACACTATACCCACCTCATTACAGATTTTTATTACTCATTCACTTTAGTAAGCTCTAATCTAGGTTATTATGCCACACCCATCACCATGAGAATGGGATTTAAAAGGACCAGAAATACTTTGTTATTCAGCTTTTTCTCAGACCTTGTAGAGTGATCTGTAGAGTAGCAATATCCAAAACCCATTTGAGTAGTTATACCTGACAAAAGTAATTACAAACATGCCCACAGCATGGACAAAAAGCCCAGTGGATATGTGTGTGGACCCAAACACGGTCCATTCCTGCCTCAATCCCCTCAAATTTGCTTTAGATACCAGAAGACATCATCTTCCAAAAATGGAAAACATATCCCCAAGTAGTTTGTGTGCAGCAAATTGAGGAGTGACCAAAGTGAGAAGAAATGCTGAACAATTTAAAATTCAAAGCCTCATAAAATTAAAGGTTTAACACATTTAAACTAGAATTTACCATTACATTAAAAGCTGTGTTGCTGAAATGATTCCACTTTTCTCTTACTCTAATACCTTCTGTATACATCTTGGAAGCAATAAAATTAACAGCTACTTTAATGGGAATCTGAATTTGTACAAACATTGAAGGCTTATCTACCCTGAGCAGTTAGGTGGAAGGGTGATTTATTATTAGTGTATTGTGAACACACAGAGCACTAAAGGGTACTAAGCATATAAAGATGACCTTCATTTTGTGGTTTCTCTAAGCAAGGCAGAAGTACACAAGTACTCCTGACAAGTTTAGGCTGCATGTCCTACTAAAGAAGCAGCATTTCACAAGAGCTATTAAAAAAAGATCTAAGGCGTGGAGAGGGAACTGCACGTTTAAAATATGAGCACCTCAACACACCCAAAAGGTGTGTACACTTGAAATCATTACCTCATGCCCTGCATCACATTATCATTCACATGTGAATGATGCAGCACACAGCATATAATGGCTTGTGTAAAGTGTCATTACTAGCTTTTAACTCCTTGGGAGTAAAAATGTTGTTATCCACCCCTGTTAGAGAAAGTAAAACTATTTCTCCTATAAAATATATATATTTTTTAAAAAAGCCTTTCATTTTAGCACGTATAATTGAACATTTACCTCGACCACTTTGCTTTCCAAATGCAGCCACAGAACCTGAACTGGTAGATGCTGCAAAAAGGTCTTTCAGTCTCTTGGAAGACAAGTTGTTCATATATAAGAACACTTTGGTTTTCCCTTCCTGTAAAGTTCAGGGGAAAAAAAAAAAAGGAAGTAAACATAAAGGCTTTAACTAAAAAAGGCTGGAGTTCTCTTAAGCATTCAAATGCAGAGTGTATTTATGGATTATGATCTTTAGGAAATATGTATAATCTGCAAAGCTGAGCATTTTAAAGAGTAAGTTCAGGCTCTGAAGTTATCTCATCAAAACCACCTCTGAACGTCATCCCTTCAGAAGTCTTTCCTTATACACCTGCACAGTAAACCAAAGTATTTTCATCTCACTTGACTAGGAAGACTTTTTTCCCCTGCTTTATCCAAGGCCAAATGCTTTGCCAGCTCCAATGGATACTGTTAAGTCAAGCCAGTACTCCCTCTGTTGGCAATCCAAGTAATGTACAGTCCTTTCATCTACAGGTCTCTCTGAAGACAACCAAGAGAAGGGAAATAAAGCGTTAGAACAAGAAATCAGCAGTTGTAACACTTTGAAGCTTTCAGAAGTGGGCAGTTCTTCAGATTATGAGTGCTATGGCAAGATTCTAGTTGAAAACCTGAACCCAACAGTTGTGACCCTTCCTAAAATACTGAACTTGATTCATCCTCCTTTCATCAGTTTGTTTTTCTAATGATCTAATTTTAAAAACCTCAGCAGTTTGATGGTTTAATACTCCAATTAAAAAACCTCTTCATATAAAAGCTCATTTATTAAACCTCTGTACACAACCACGGACACGTATGTACAGCAAGTTTACACAAAGGACGATGGTACAAAAGACAAAATGGCAATTAAAACCAACCCACATAAATAATATATAAAAATACTTGAACTGGTGAAGCTGATGCTGGTCATCCCTGATCATTTTCATCCAACTGCCAAGCTTTTTGATGGGGGAAATCTTCATGGTAGACCTTTCTTAAAAACATCCAGAATATATTAAACTTATCTACCAGATAATTAGCAAAATGTATAAAGCATAGATTATTGTACAAAGGACAGCTATAAAACCCACCAATCCACTTCAGACTCAAGGACAATATAAATCTCAGCCAAAGTAATGAACAACAAACCACAAACTCCTCTTTTTTTTCCGAGTTTCATGTATGGGCAAGTGAATCACTCTTAACAAATCAACAGTCCTGTTATTCCTCAGTGGAAAGATGCAATCCGGAGAAATTCTTCTGTATTTTCTGGCCACACTGGTGGTCCAGGGCAGTAAGGAAGCCCTGCACTGACTCCAATTCCAATGAAGAATGGGGCAGACTTGTGTTTGTCAAGATTCTCTCCTTGCCACAAAAGGATAAGGAAAGTGTTCAGAGTTTGTGAAACTGGAGGAGGAAAGAAACAGAAGCAGGGATTTGGATTAACGGAACAAAGGATGACCAGTTAAGATGAAGTCTTTCTCCTTTGCTGGTTTCTTGGGGAATTTTTTAACACGCTTCTTATTCGTAGATAAACACCTGTGGATTCTGCCAAGTTTTCAAATTCAAATGGTGTTATGCCTGCAGCAAACTTGCTCATATCAGGAACAAGACTGCAGTTTTTTGCAGTGCTTTTGACTGCTTTATTATCACTTGTATTTTCTCCCTCTTTAACCTCAGAGTTGGGAGCAGGCCTGGCGTTATCCAGCAAGCCTTCAGAATCTGTATTAGCAGGATCCTCTTTGGAGGTGAGTGAACTATCTCCTGGATTGGGACTAGTCATAGAATGTTCACTTTCTGGTAGCTGTTCACTGGTATCAGAAAGCCTTGTTTCCACTGAAACCACCTTCTCAGGTGACCTTACTTCTGCAACAAGATCTCCTTCGTTCCTAGATGGTGATGATGTAACAGAATTTCCAGCTAAAGGTGTATCAACTTGAATATCAGAGTCACTGTTAGTGCTCTCTGCCTGCTCAAGTGCTGCCCAGATTAAACGCTGCTGTTCCTCTAGCTCTTCCAAGGTCAGAGTATCCTCATCCATGACCGCGTCCACTATTTTTGGCTCAGGAGTCTCACTGGAAGGATTTGATGGTGAAGCAGTCCTAGAAAGAGGATGGCACGTGGGGGTTGAAGGTTGAGGTGGTGTAAGATTTTGTGGAGGTGTTCCCTGAGGTAAAGGAGGAGGAGTTGACATCGATGGATGCCCTGGTGGCAGTGGAGGTTGGAACTGAGAACTGCTCGGGGTTTGAGATCTTTGTGACATTTCCAGATCTAGAAACAGATTAAAAAGACACCTGTTAGAATCAGAAATAGGATTAAGACAAAATTCAAAGTGCCAATATCCTGATAATGTAGTAGACTTAGGTCTTCTCCTTGGTTTTCAGCTGAGATAGAACAAACTTCCTGAAGGTTTTAATGTCCATTGAAACTATGTTTTCTGGGATTTTAGCTTTGCTGGCTATTCAGTAAAATAAATAAATACATTCTTGAATGTCTTGAGAACAAACTTATTCCACACTGAGACAACTGAAGGATTTCCTATAAGGAAATCCAAAATTTTCTCCAGCTATTCTAACATCTAAACAACACTAAATCCTCCTGTGAGTTTGACTTATTTTTAAGAAGTTGTGAGCTTGTAACTTCCTATATTATTTCATCCAAATATTTAAGGATCTCGAGGTCTTCCTTAACAGCAGTTTCTTTGGGATACACACCTGAAGTAAAGAGATGGGAATTTGTAACCTAGCGTTCCAGTTGCTCTGAGCACACACTTGAAATCTCCTGCTTGGTATTAGAAGATAGGACAATTGCGGCAACAGAGAACACTTATTGAAGAGAGGCCCAAGTGCAACTACAGTAGGACCCTGAGACCATATGTTAGCAGTTACATTAATTACCCCCATAACGCATTGGCTTCTCTTTATGAACACTGACATTTCCATTCAGAGCAAGTTATTTTGAAAATAAAAATTGAAACTAGTAAAAGAATATAAATAATTGCAGAATAACTACCAGAATCTATTTCCATGTCAGTTACGGGTGCCTCCAAATTGTCGTCTTTTGGTTGTTTTGAGTGATGAGACCGTGACTCAGACGCAGGCCTTTTATTGTTTGATTTTGGACTTGGCTGAAAAGACATTATCCAGGAAACCAAAAGAAATTAGTATTAAATTGTATAAGGTAACATTTCCAGCTATAAGAACATATTTAAAGCAATTTCGTAACTGTACAATCATTTGGTTGACCCAGTGTGTAAACTCTGAAGTTTGAGAGATTCAATGCAACTGAACAGAACTGTAAGCTTGTGCAGGTTTAAATGGCAAAAGAAAAGACTGTCTGCATTCCTAACGTAGGATTACAAGCAAGTTTGATCTCATGAGACCATGACAACTCAAGTATTGCACATCCCTTTCTAGCAGGCTAAGAATTTACTGTGTAATTCCAAACAGCATTACACTTCAGGCCTGAGAGCAGAGCTTGCATGTCTCATTCTTAAGTGGAAGTATTCTGCAGTAGGTAACACTAGGCTAGAGTCACAGTAAAGAGGACCTGAGATGATAAGGGACAGGACTACCATGTGTTTTCTCACATCACCGTAATAAGATCACTCTTAACCACGACTGTGGCAAATAGCTTTTCATTTAGTAGGGTCTGGAACTAAAATTGGTTTTAAGTTTATAGCAACCTTTTTTACCGCTGTTTAAAAAATACTGCACAACTGGGATCTGCTTATATTCATTGAAATCATGGCATTTGTTCTGAACAAGAAGCTGCTTTTTGTTAGAACAGATAAGCATTTCACACCTGGCAGTGTCAACAAGAAAGCCCATCCCCTTGTGCAAACCCAAGAAGATACAAACACGAGTTCATCACTGGCTACAGGACCTACAAGGCAGTTTTATAATTTTGCAAATAACAATGAGACATATTCACCGCATGGAAACTGGAAAGGTACTGAGCAAAAACCTCCTTCTGCTGAGATGGCTGCATGGGGATGGAACCAAACAACTGCCATTCCTACAGGGGGAAAGAAAAGGAATGATGTTGCGTATGTGGCTGATAACACAACAGAAGTGCTGAGAGATTAACCAGCCACAATGAATTCAAGTTCTCATCAAAAGCCTCATTTATCAAGAGTAAATAGGTCTTTAATAGGAACTTCTGGACAACCGAAATACTTTCACCTGTGAGCACAAACTGATGTGATGCACTACAACTGGGTAGGAATAATCATTAAAAGAAATGAAATTCATCACCTTTACAAAATGTCTGGCTGACCATTTCATAGCAACGATTCTCCAACATCTGTAAAACCACTACAAACTTCCCCTTGAAATAACTGTTGAGACCAAAAAAGGCTTACTTTGAAAAACTGTTAATTTTGAATGAAAAAAACCCTGGAGGTTGAGCAAACTGAATGAAAAATCACGTTTGGAGGCCACTAAAGGGACAAATGTAAAGCTGAAAAGAAAATGCCCAAGCGCTGCTTTTTAATGCGCAGGCAGGGACATCAGTGACGAAGTTCACTACTAACAGCAGCTTAAAATGCTTTTGAAAGTAAAGTTCAACAGCAGCTGTCATAGATTTTTCATTAAACTTGGCAAAATGCAGTTACTGCTACTCAACACGTTGTTTAGAAGGCAGAGGACAGCTACTTACATCTGGGATCCCACTTGGAGTGGATATGTTAAAGCCTGGATAGTTTATCAACTTTGAGACATCATAAGTGGTGCGTTTTGGTTGGCGAGATTCTTCATCTGCTTCACTACCACCTATAATGAAACAGAATTATTATTGCTGCTAATTAAGAATGTTAATGAAAAAAATCCACAGGATTTAACAACATGGGTTTGAGGTTTGGAATGTAAGTATTAATAGAGGCTTTGTGATCCACAAAGGCATTAACAGTGACCAAATCTATCAGATACATGCATGAAGCTTCCCCAGAAGCCTAACTGGGTATTTATAACAATACTATCCTTCACTACCATTACTCGCCTCAGAATTTGGCTGTTCTCTGAGATGCAGCATAAATATTGGTCATTAGTAAAAAGCTGGTAAATGACTTGATAAATTGGATTTCAAGGGGTGAATTCTTTGCTTGCTGGTGGTCTCACTTTGTAAGAGTAAATTATTGAACTTCAGAAAGTGTTATGGTTTCTTTCATGAAACATGAGAAGCTTATTAAAAAAAGGGAATTTGACAAGAGGCTAAGCACAAGCCTTGCAGAGTTTCACAGGAACTCCATGTTCTAATAGCAAGGGTTCATTAGAGTGAAACCACATTGAGAGTTTTCCTCTATGCAGTGCACTCATTACAAAAGTTGTTTCATTCTCATTACAGAAGTTGTTTCACTGTCACATCTTAGCTAGAAGAAAGGGGAGTATTTTTACATGACTTTAGAAAAGGAAACTTGATTTACAACTTTCTCCTACTTCCATGATGGTTTCCATACTAGGTATTTGGCCTCCTGAACAGGGTGCAGCCAGTAAATAGCACACTGAAAACTGCATTCCCACAGCACATTCCTTACCTTTTCCATCATAAAGCGCAAGCCCCGAGTGCTCCATTTCAGCCTCCTTGAGCCAGCCTGGAGGGTAACCCAGCTGCCGCATGCGATAGATAAATGGAGGCAGACTCTTATCTGTGACCCCAAGTGCATCTTGAAGTTCCCCACTAAGTCAAGAAAACAAACAGAGAACAAGATGTCCTCCAATACAATCCATAACCGAGTTCTGACAAAAGGAGTTTATGAGCATTTTGTTAAATGTCAAGTTAAAAGAACTTAGTTTTAGCTCAAACCATGTTGCCTGTCAATCCCAGATATAACAATTTTAGGTCAAAACCAGCTCTGATGTTTAACTTTAATTTCTCAAATGCTTAAACATTTTATAAGAATTAATTCTACACTGAGAACAACTTACTCGACTTGTTACTTCTGATTCATGGCCTTAAATGGAGCTACCACAACAGAAAAGAACTTAATGCAACACTTAATTTACTGGTGATTTCTTTGGAGACTGCTATAGTCATATTATGATTTGGTTTTTAAACAATTTGAATAGAGAGAAAAAGAGAGGAAGGGACAGCCAAAGCTCAACATTTTCAGAATTTGGCATGCATTTTTAGTTTACTAGGAATATATTTACAATTTGAGTAGCCAGAGAGTAACATTTATCTCCCTGCATTCGGGAAAGTTCTGCGGGAGGGGCAGGACTATTAAGCTATTAATGAGTTTTCATTTGAAAAACATCTCTGCAATTTATTAAACTATTTTATTTAGCAAACAAATACAAATATAATACACCCAGAGTTAAGAGTAGCAGATGGATTTAACAGGAATCTGGAAAGTAACATCTGGCACTCCAAAGGTAGAAAAGCTATTCCAGAAAAGCAGTGCAACCACTAATGGAAGAAAAAGAGATACCTAATTACTCCTGGTTTAAATTTTCCAAACCTCTCTTCTACTTCTTCTGCATGATAACGCTGCTGAAAAATCTGATTGCTCGATTCACCACAAGCTTCCATAAACTCCTTTCTCTTCTCACTTATACGAGCTGCATTTCGTGGCTTAAAGATAATACAATTGGGAAGTTTAGATGTGGACAATTTACAGCTTATGCACTCCTTCACCCAACATAAAATTGGTACTCCTTGCCCTCAGCATACTTAATCATTTATCACACAGCCAATGTGATACATCTACAGTTGTAATAAAAAGTACATAGCAAAAACCCAAGACTATTTGCATTGGATCTAGTGGAGCTCTAAAGCGGGAGGAAAGACTCTTCAGACTGAAAAATGTCCCTCCATAAATTAAAGGGAATATTCAAACTATTACACTACAAAATTAATTCATTCAGATTTAGCATGTTAGAATTGATTAATTATGACCAGTAAGATCTAATCAACAGAGACAAATAACCATTTGTACACGTCCTGACCCCAAAATAGTGTGGTTACACCAGAACATTTCTTGGAGAGCAGCAGTCTTTTGAGTACTGCTGTAGACTTTACCTTTGGGCAGTCTTTCATTTGATGGTCTTCAGAACCACAATTGAAACAAGTAGGTTTTGGCCTGCTTAAAAAACGCACAAGAAATGAAGCCATTTACAATTCTGCAACAGTAAATGCATTTGATTATTTTAAATCTTACTAGTTTTAAACTTAAGGAGGAAAAAAAAAAGAAGTAAGCATTGCTTGCTGATTTCAGGTGCTGTCTTCTGCTTCTCTTAAACTGACTTATTAATCTTCAAGAGAGAGTAACAGAATATTGTTTCTTTCACAGTCCTAAGGAGAACACAAGAAATGAGAAAACACAGGCACAGCACTGGGGGGGAAAGAATACATGACAGAATGTGGAAAGTAAAAAAAGAGAACTAAAATTACAGTGGAAAAGTAGTACTTCCAGGCAGAACTGGAGCTTTTATATCCCCTATAATAGAGATCTACGGCTTTAAGAGGGAACAGAATAGCCAGTAGAATAATTCAGGCTGGATCTCAACAGATCTCTAATCCAGTGCCTTAATCAAAGCTGAGCTGGCAATGAGATCACACCGGGCTGCTCAGGGCTTTATCCAGTTGGGCCCTGAAAATCTCTAAGGGTGGAGACTGCACAACCTCTCTGGGCAACCTGATACAACAGTTTAGTGACCTAAAGTTGGAAAAGCTTCTTCTCACATCATGCTGCAGAAAGAGTATTCACTGAAGGGTTTCTACTTCTGATTAAGTATGTAGACATTTGCTTAGATAGTGACAATAAATGTAAACAAACCCTACATACTAAAGCTTATGTTATGTCCAGAGGAAGGAAAGTGAAGATGTTAAAACAGTACTTCTCACTCTACAGCACAGATAAGGAACCCCTCAATTTAACACACCTGTAGTACATTAATACCTCTATTTCTCTTTTTATGCTTGATTCATCAGAGGTCTGACCCTTTTTACAATACTGAGAATTGGTTACCAGTAGAAACAAGCAGGAGAGCATGACTACTTCTTTGTCAAGTCCTGGTCCACAGTTTGGACAAGTTATGCATATAGTGAAATTGTGCACTGAAAACCTGGAATGGAACTGCAGCTGGCTACAAGCTTGATTTTCCTTGTAAATTCATACAAGGGCAGCAAACACTTTCAACATTATGGGGGAAAATTCCAATCTCTTACAAGATGTTAATGAAATACTTCCTTTCTGAACATTCATTTTTATAAAAATAGGATGGGGACCAGAAGAGGATACAAAAAGGTGACACAACAATCAGTGTCTAGGGTAAACACACCCCCTCCAACCTCTTGAAGCCTCTAGTAAGATAAAATGAAGTGCATCTTCTGCTTCATCTTTACATAGTATTCAAACAGAAACCTTCTGTAGTGATCAAAATATTTTATCACCATTCTGTATCATGAGCATAACCCTTCAATGTGCTTTCCATTCAGAGGCAGTATTTCTAATCAAACCCAGCATGCCCCTTTATCTTTGCAATTCCCACTGAAATCTTGCCTGGTCTTCACCGCATCTGAAATCAGTGACTTCAAACATTATGAAGACCACACAAGCTGCCAGCTGGAAACTCGTTTCACTTCTTCCCTCCCATAAAAGCTCTACAATCAAGTCTAAGACCAGTCTTAAAAAGTCTATGAAATAAATCAGACAGGAGTTGTTCTACAAACCAGTAAGCATGATGACAGTACACCAGTACAAGGATGACAAAGCAGTCACTATAAAGACAAACAACCCAAGAACTGGCTGTAAACTTCAGAATGTTTTTACAAGTTTATTTTAGGCCCTTCCTAAAGGAAGTCAATAAACAAGAGAAACCCACTGACTGCAAAGCTCAGCACTGGTTTACTCCATTTAAACTCACTGCTTACGTATGTTCAAGGGTTTAGTATACTGGGGAATAATCACAGTGTACATCTGAACTTTTCAGCTCAAAACTTTATATTTAAGAATAATACAAACCTTTTTGGTTTTACTTGTATTTCTTGTCCATCTAGGGAGAGAATGTGGCTGAAAACTTGCTGGTATCTTTAGATTTCAATAAGGAACTGCTACTGGATAGCAGATTTTATAGAGGAAGAACAGCTTATTCATACCTGGAATGAGCTGTTATTCCAAACCTGATTACAGACTGGCCCAGGAAAATCCTAAAGTCACAAGATGTATTTATGGGGACAAGGCATTCAGTCTTCCCAAGCACAAGCCCACTAAAAATCAATGAGCCAATCATATAAAATACTGGAATGGTTTGAGTGAAAAAAAAAGCCATTAATGACTCATTAAAACTTTTCATCTCTAATGACTGATACAGTTTGACAGAAATGCACAATCTACTGAACAGGACTGGAGTTCGATTTACCCACTGGCATTCCCTGGATTTGAGAAACGGAAAACCCCTTTAACAAACAGGATACTTAGGTATTTCCCATCCTTCTGTCAGCTGTGGATTCTCATTTAATATAGGCTGTCCCAGTTTATCAAGACAAAAATTGGTAAAATACAGAACACTTCCTACAACCTGTAGAAAAAAAGTCAGAAAATTGTCAGAAAGGTGTCAGTATTTAGGTCAGATTGGCAGCATTTCTATAAATTTACACTGCTTGAAATACTTCCAGGTTTTTTTTCCCCCACTCTGTAAGAATTTACAAGTAACACATGCCCACACCTGTAGAAATACGTATTTTTTCCAATGATGTAGCTAAAACATGCTGAACTTAACTGCTATTCCATTGATAAATGAGACTTAACAAGAGCTTATTTTAATGGCAGTGTATATTAAATATGTAGAATGAAGAGTCAGACCTACCATTGAAGAGAACATAGTCAAGAACTTACACTAAAAGCTTCTTTCACTTTTTTAGAACTCGAGCTTGCTGCTTTACCATCCTCTTCCAAAAGAATACTGGAGGGCTGACATGAGAAGTAAAAATGCAAATAGCTCATTTAAAATAACAGTAAATAGAAGAGTTCCTAAATTACTCACGTATGTGAAAGGCACAGAATATGGAATACAGCTCCTATTCTTTCAGGAAACAGTTAAACAGTAGGATGGAGATGTTTACATTAATCATGACACAGTCCAAAGAATGACACAGCTCATCTCCAATGTTTTCTCTGGTAAGAAATATACTGCATGAAATCATCTTTATTCTCTCAAAAGCTACGAGAAAGATGGAGAGAAATGTGCCACTTCACCCTTTTATTCAAAGTGAATGTCAAGTATAACTCCAAATTCCAAACTGAGAAGAAAGTGGAATTTTCCAGATTCTGTTGTTCATCTACGCTCTCATATGCTCAAAGTTGAGCCAAATACTATCAGAAAAGGACACAATAAGTTCATACCTTATGGTCTTTTCTAGATTATTTAAATCAACTTATTACTTTGCTTTTACACAAATTTCACCAGGAACAAATTCAGAGAAGCACCTTCATGTGCACAAATGGTATTTTCTTTGTCCTGGTCCTCTACGTTTGGAACAAAGAGTTATACAACCTTTGCTTAATGGTTATTTCATAGATACGTAGCAATTAACAGGAAAAAAACATCTGGAATTCGGCTATTTAGCAGGGTAGTATTTCAATATTCCCACAATAAGGACGCAAGAGAAGCAGCACCTAATAACAATTTGAGTTTTTAAGTACCTGTGGCTTAACAGTGAGCTGTGTTTTCTCTTGTTCACTTTTCCTCTGCTCTTCATATTTCTGAACTAAGCCAAAAATAAAATCTTCAATTTCTTGATGATACTGCCTGTAATGACGAAGTATACAGAGGTGAAGATGTGAACAAGATTGAAACATATGCCAAATGCTTTTATTTGCTTGGTTGAAGTGTTCTTGGTTTTGGGGTTTCTTTCAGTATTTACCATTGTGCTGGTTTTGTTTGGGGTAGAGGTAATTTTCTTCTTAGCAGCTTGTGTGGGCTGTGTTCTGGATTTGGGCTGGAAATAGGTGTTGGTAACACACAGGGATGTTTTTGCTACTGCTGAGCAACGCTTACACAGTCAAGGCCTCACTCCAACCTACCAGCACAAAGAGTTGGTGGGGGACACACAGCCAGGACAGCTGACCCCGACTGACCCAAGGGATATTCCAGACCAAATGGTGTCATGCTCAGCATATAAAGGTGGGAGAAGAAGTAGCTGGGGGGAGGGAGGGTGGACATTCAGCACGGTGGCATTTGTCTTCCCAAGCAACCCTTACACATGCTGGATCCCTGCTTTCCGGCAGAGTACTTACCTAGAAATGACATTGTTCATAAATAAGATCTGTAACAGAGGCCCATCTAATTTGGAGTTCTCCACATAAATTCCACTAGAACAGAACAAACACACAGACAATGGTTACTGCATTAGCTTTACTCTGAATACTCCCTTTCTGGTTTATCACAGCAAAGAGTCAGGAGCCTACAGAGAGAGGAAGGTTTAGCCAATACAAGTTCAGTACTTTTAAGGAGTTTCAATTCACTTAAACAGAAATCTTCCTCTTTCAAGCCAAGCAGGTTGCCTGCTGTGAGGTGGCAAGAAAACAAAAGGGAACATCACACTACAGTCATTTTCTCCTGTTATAAAATCTTTTAAATACGATTTTGAATAAATAAGGTCTCTTATTTATTCAACCATGTTAATGTACTTATTCATACTACTGAACTGTACAAAAACCTGTTTCCTTAAAGGCCACCAAAGTGTCCTGAACAGATAGGTACACACCAATAAATAAAACTACAGCAAAACAAACCAAGTTCTTGATATTCAAGTCTAAGAGACTTTTCAAGAATGGTAACAACAGTTTCCAACTGATGTGGCAGACACTGTTCCCTCAGGCAGCTCTTGTCTCAGACAAACTCTATTTCAAACATATATAGTTCATACAAAGCTTTAAGTCACATACCTAGGACGAGTCAGAATATTCAGCTTCCTTTTAAGTTCCTGATGTTAATTTACTGTTAAAGAACATTACTTTCCACAGAAGACACAGACCTCTTAATTGAAGGAGCAAAGCCAACAAAACACCTAACAAGAATTCCACAGAGTAACAAATGGGGTTTCAGACCTTCCATTTCACTGCACAGAGGATTATTTACAAATCCACCTGTTGTTGAAGAAACACGATAAAACAAAAACAAATCAACCAACCAAAATCACCCAAACCCACCCCAAACCAGAGCCCAGATGAAAAAGGACAATCCAATTACTGTAATTCATTACATGCACTACACTTGAATTGCCCTATTTATAGTATTTGTTTTAAAAGTACCTACAATCACAGAAAAAAAAAAAGTCAACAATAAGACACGTACTTGTAAATAGTAAATAAACTATAAAATCAATTCCAGATTCTACTCTGCTGCAGTATCAAACCATTTAGGGAACCAGCCACAATTTACAGCTTAAAATTATTTGTAGGTATGTTAAAAATGGGGTTTAGTGAACAAACAACTGTTTCTTTTCCCTAGAAAGTCAGAAAGGAGCCCAGCATCAAGTGTTTTAACGGTCATCCCAGCACCAAGAACTCAACTACCTCCTTTGCCACCTGAAGCAAACTGGCACGGACCTGGACGCTCTAAGGACAGAAGCTTTCAGAGAAAGCTTCCTCTGAACATACAGACGCAGAAGCCAGGATAAACTTTTTACCAAGCTCCCTGCCGAGCTCCATTCTCAGGACGCGCCAGGCTCAGACCGACCGGGCCTTCCCCGACAGCGGCACAGGGTCCGGCCTCACGGAGGTCCCGAGAGGCGGGAAAAGCCGGAGCCCCTCGGCTGGCCTGGATGGGAACCGAGGGCTGAAGCGACC